CAGCGAACTGGTTGTTCTCTCTCAGCAGATGTGTAAACGTCAGCCTTTCAAACCTCAGAATTAGGCCCCGTTTGGGGACTTACCTTTTTAGCCAAAAAGCCAAAAAGTTACCTCTTTAGCCAAAAAGTCAACAACTCATACCAAAAAGTCAAAGATTCTCTTTTCTCTCTACTTTTTGCACATCTTTTCGTAATTAGCCAAAAAATCATCCCAAACATATAAGTTGTTTTTACCTACTTTTTTAGCCAAATAGCCAAAAAGTTACTAAATTAGCCTGTTCCCAAACGAGGCCTTAGAATATCTAGGGTCTGATGATAAACCTTCATGTTCTCTTCCTTGATCTTCCAATCCCCGTTGGCTTGAGAAACAATCAGGTTTGAGTCTCTGATGACGTCCAACCTTATTGCCCCTAGTTCTAGGGCAACTTCTAGTCCTGCAATGCATGCCTCATATTCTGCTTCGTTGTTAGACACTTTGAGCCAGAGTTTGAAAGCTAAGGGTATGTGGGAATCATTGGGTGCTATGAGCAACACACCTATCCCATATCCATATTGATTAGATGCTTCGTCAAAGTACATTATCCATGTTTCCTCCTCTATCTGTAGAATGTCTTCATCTGGAAATAGATACTCTACCTCTTCATCTCCTTCCACTGGGTGGTCCGCTAAAAATTCTGCCACTACTCTCCCTTTGAAGGATTTGTGCGTGACGTACTTGAGGTCAAATTCGGAGAGAAAAAACAACCAACGAGCTAGTTTACCCGTAAGCGTCGGTTTCTCAAAGAGATATTTGATGGGGTCTAATCTCGAAACAAAGATTATAGAGTGAGCTAACAGGTGGTGTCTCAGCTTCCTTGTCGCCCATACTAAAGCTAGGCAATCTTTTTCCAGAGAAGTGTAGTATGTCTCATAGTCTAGCATCTTCTTGATCAAATAGTAGATGGCCTTTTCCACCTTAGCTTCTGATTCTTGAGCTAGCATGCATCCCATGGTCGAATTTGTCACCGACAAGTACAAGATCAGTGGCTTCACCGGTTCTAGTGGTGACAATGCAGGTGGATTCTGCAAATATTGCTTGACCTGCTCGAAGGCAAACTGACATCGATCATCCCATTGGAACTTCTTCCTTTCTTCAGGAGATCAAATAGTGGTTCACAAGCTAAGGTTAATTTCGAGATAAACCGTCTTATGAATTGCACTTTACCTAGAAAGCCACAGACCTCCTTTTCAGTCCTCAGTGGTGGCATTTTTAAGATGGCATTGATTTTGGATGGATCTACTTCAATTCCCCTCTGTGTGATCAAAAATCCCAGCATTTTTCCAGCAGTCACCCCAAAGGTGCATTTTTGTAGGTTCAACCTCAGTCTGTACTCCTTGATCCATTCAAACAATTTCTCCGGTGCGGTGTAGTGGCCTTCGCGCTCTTTAGACCTGACAATCACGGCGTCTACATACACCTCAACTTCTTTATGGATCATGTCGTGCAAGATCATAGTCACAACCCTCTGAACCCTCTGATAGGTAGCCCTAGTGTTTTTCAATCCAAAAGGCATGACTCGGTAGCAGTAAGTATCCCATAGTGTAGTGAAAACAGTCTTCTCTCTGTCCTCCAGTGCCATCAGAATCTGATTATGCCCGGAAAACCCATTCATAAACAAAAGCAAGGCATGGCCAACAGTGAAATCTACCAACTCGTCGATGTGCGATAGTGGAAAGTCGTCTTTCAGACTAGCTCTGTTCAGATCCTAAAATTCGACACAAACCCTGATTATGTCGTCCTTCTTCGGAACTGGAACGATATTAGCCAGCCAAGTCGAGTACTTAGACACCATCAAGAAACCCGCATCAATCTATTTGGTGACCTCTTTTTTAATCTTCAACGTCCAATCTGGACGGACTCTATAGAGCTTCTGTTTCACTGGTCGGGCCTCAAGGTCAAGAGGAATCCGGTGTTGTACAATCTCAGGATCAATTCTAAGCATGTCTTCATAGGACCACGTAAAAACATCTTTGAAATCTTTTAATACAACGATTAAACGCTCGTGTTCCTGTGAAGACAACGTGAACCCGATCTGGACCAAGCGGGGATCCTCTTCGATACCCACATCAATTGCAATGATTTCATCTATGAAGGGCTTAACACGCCTCTCCTTCTCGTGATCAACCAGAATTTTCAAAGCCCGAGGAATTTCTTCCTCTTCGTTTAATTCAAAATTTTGAAAATCAAGATCTGTGCAACAAACTAAAGGCACAGAGAAGTAAGTGAAATCTACTGCATTCCCATTCAAAAAGTCTCGGTTACAATTGACTCGAAAGAAAAACTAAAAGAAGACCTAGACAGGACCGTGGTATTCGAGTTACCAACCCCAGAAGTACCAGACTCAGACTCCTCCTCCTCAGAAGAACTCGAATCTGATCCCAACTGAACAGACTCGATGGAATTAGATTCGGACTCATTATTCGGTTCAGAATAGCCAATAGTGCCCCTCTCAAATTGCCAGACTAGGGGTGGAGCCTCAGCTGCGTCCATGATGAGACCAATGAAATCCGCTGCTAGTTTATCCCTGATCATAGAGATAGTAATACTCTCCCCCAAGTTGACGGGCTCAACGCCAGCATTGGAACTTGCTAGTAGGTCAGCCAGTGCCATCCCTCATAACTCCTCCTCATCGACGTCTAGGCTTGCATTCCTGTCTTGCTCTGTACTACACTCAGGTCAATTTGTTCATCCTCATCTTCTGGAAACTGGTGTCCAAAAAAGATCTCAAATCCCAGGCACCTTGTCTTTGTTTCCTGGTCGACCCATGGCTCTAGAAATCCACAAAAAGGGAAATCTTCCCCTTGGCGGACAAATCGTCCGTTCAGGGTTCCCCGAATTGGCTTGTGGACCAGTTCATAATGCCCTCCAGCCCTCTTTGCTTTAAGTCTCCCTCTCAACTCATCTCCCTTTCTCTTCCAGTCTTCGGCAGTAGGCTTGTACCCCAACCCGAAAGCATAGGGGTTGTGACTTAACTGTTTGGCAATGGTATCTCCTTGCCTGCCACTCTTGCCCAGTCCCAATTCAGGAATGTGCCCTTGTTTGTTTATCATGTAGATGGATTGGGTGCTCACATAGTTCCCGTCGTCCTCCGCCATGATAGATTGAACCAGCCAGGCCTCTGCCAAGGAGAAGCCGAAGAGGAACATGTCCTCTTCAGAATCCCAATTTGCACGGATTCAATGTTGCCAATTACACATAGATCACAAGCACACCAATCACTATCCCATTAACATCAAAACACAGCAGAAATTCCCATTTACGTCTCTTCCATTCCGATTGCTTTGGAGGGAAACCAAAATTACCCACAGAAAAGATTTGGGGGCATAGATGTAAATTCAACATCAATAAAACCCACAATTATCCTTGCTTTACGTGTTAAACCGTGGGCCAATTCGTCTTTAACATTGGGATGAGACTTATTGATTCATAAGATTAAAGTTAGGACTAAATGGATCAAAAGATTGAAATTTGGGATTTAATGGTGCATTCCCAAAAAAATAAATACATTGTATAAATTCAAATTTAATATGATGTAGACTACTTTCAAATTATATTCGATTTGCACATTTCATTTTCTAACAATCTTTTTTGAATAAATTTTTTGGATTATTTATATGGAGATCCCCTAAATTATTAAAAAATGTTACTTTGACCTTCTAAACTATAAAAACGTACAAATAAACTCCTAAACAATTGAGAAGTATAACTTTAACTCCTTAAACTACAAAAGCATATAAATAGACCTCCTAAACATTAAAAACATACTAATTGGTCCCTATAATAGAATGGGTCAAATTAAAACACGTTAATAGTTTAGATGATCCATTTGTAAGCTTTTATAGTTTAAAGAGCAAAGCGATACTTTTTAATAGTTTAAAAAGTCTATTTGTACACTTTTATAATTCAAAAGATAAAAGTAATATTTTTTTAATAATTTAAGAATTCTTCATATAAATAACTTAATTTTCTTTTCTCTTGAGATCAAAATACTCTTTCCAGAATAAGATAACATTGGAAGAGATTGAGTCAGATCCTCTTACCCCAATCCCTTGTCCCAAACCATTCTCACTAGATTCAAAATACGCATTGCGTATCACTGCAATTCTCCAAGTTTTACATTTATCAATTTCGTTCCTAAAAATTGGAGCTCAACAAAGAAACTGAAAAAATCACAAATTGATTAAATTTAGACTGAACCACATAATTTGATTTGATTTGATTTTTTCAATGCATAGTTCAGTCTTTATTATTAAAATAGATGAATTCATGATTTAGTTAATGATTTTATAGTTATGGAACCAATTTGAAATCAAACCAAACCAAATATATGTGTGTATATATATATAATTTGCTACATATAGTAAATGCTCAAATATCTTATTAATATCAAATATATATACAAACTTGCAATCGTAGTGTATGATGGTAGAACTAATTCTAAATAATTAACTAAACAATTCTTTCATTGTAAACAATATTTTTTATTAAATTGTGAACAATGACGAAATTCCTAAATATCGTGATTTCAAATTGAATTGTGAGTTCAAATTGAATTGGAGAGTGTTTTACTAGACTTTCATGATTTAGTTTGATTCCAAATTTTATAAAATTATAAGTAATGATTTAATCTTTGATTTACTCCTAAACCGAATCAATTCAAACTATGCTCATTCTTGTAGACCATATGTATATATTTTATGCTATAAATATTTTTCTTATTCAATTCTTGAAGTGTGTATTTCAACCACTTTCTGACCACGTGTTTTATTTATTTATTTATTTATTTTAAAGATAGGTAACCACCTAGTGGCCGTGTTAAGAAGGAAAATGGTTAATAGTATGCATCAAGTAACTAACCCAAAACACTAATTTGAACAATGAAGGGAACACTTCCAAATATGCAGTTTGGGAAATTGGATTCCAAAAAAGAAGAAAATCAATCTATTAAAATACAGTACAAACTACAAAGTCATTGGCAACATAACACCACACCACTGTGGCTTTCTTTGTTTCTCATCCAAAATTGCAGAAGGAAGGTGTAAACAGGCTCTGTTTGACTGCCAAGAAAATTGCAGTTGAAGGGAAAACAGTAATTGAATTCCCAAACACGTTTTTAGAAGTGTTTGGACTTTTGCACTCGTAGATTGGCTTTCCCATGAATATTTTAGTTTTCTAAGAGTTTCCTTGCAATCAATAGAGCATTAAAAAAAAAGAAAAAGAAGGAAGCTAGTTCGTGGGAATCATTATTCTGAGATTATGCATTCAAACGAGGACAACGACAACGACAGATGGTTGTGGGTGGACCATTCCAATAAAAAGATGAAGAAATACTTACCCCACACTACTTTCATGTGAAACATGCTTTATCGAAGCAATTGCAGTTGATAAAACATGCCTTATCGTGGAAACGACACTAATATTCCTCAGGCTTAAATTTACTCTGCTTTATAAGTACGTACACCATCATTACCTATTCTTTGAACTCGGGAACAAAGTTCTTTTAGAAAAGAGTTGTGGTTACCTATCAATATAGAGCACCTGTTACTATCTAAATCGTTGGATTGTCGCAATCAAAGTAATCATTATGTTTCAAAGCTGAGAAATTGGAAATTCACAAGGTCAATCTCAAAATTAGATAGGCAAAGTAAAACACCCAACTAAATGGTGAGTAAAGAGGGGAGATATTACCTATGCACTCTATTACACTGTACATTTTTGTGTTTTATTCAAGTACACTACTACCACACTGATGTTATCTTTGCTACCCCAAGCCATTGCCAGCTCAATTAATACTGCTGCTGCCTCCGCAGCACGGCTTTGATTTACAGCCTCACTGAATTTGCTTTCATTTAGAGTCGCTTGAAGTCTCCTCTTAATTCTGCCATCCAGACATCTCCTCACGACTGGGCATGCAACCTCATTTGAAACAACATCCCATAAGCCATCAGTAGGTAGAATCAGAAATTCATCTGCACTAGTTCTCTTGCTCACTATGATTTCTGGTTTCGGTATTACAAATGGTTTGAGGTAGTGATCCCCAGCATTCAAATTTCAAAACCTCGTGAGGAAACAAAATTACAGCCGCCAGTATCTAAAGAGCACTTGAGCCACTGAGTTTAACATGAATGTTGTGGGCCTCGTGGTTGTCCTCAAAGTTAATTGTTGTATGGGTCAAGAGTTTGCTCATCAATTACGAGCCCAAATCCATCCCCCAACTTGACCCAAGGCATCAGGTTAGAGTTTAGGATCTGCCAAATGCTCCTTAGAAACTGATATATCAACTAATAGGTGAAATGGATTAATGATTTTCTATGGTCTTTAGAAACAATGTGCACCCTTATAAATTTTGTAAAAAGGACAAATGGCCATGCCCAACATCAACTTAAAATGTTTAACATGTCCATTTATACTACAAATAGTGATGCGGACGTTGGTGTCTAGCTCAAGAAGAAAGACAATATGGTATATCCTCATTTAACAACTCTTACACTAATAGCAAATAATACAGTTATTATCCCTGTCTAACAACTCTGACCACCACACAAATGGTCATGCTGAAGCACAAAACCAACACAATCCTTTGTTTTTGCTTGGCTAGATTTTCATTTTTTTCTTCTCTGTCTATCTAAAAGGAGCCTAACCTAAGAAACCTATTCTAAGGTGGTTATGAAAATCCTGCTTAGGAATGTAATGTTTAGGAAAGATTCACTTGTGCTCATAGAAACATACGATATATGCTTTCCCAAGAATCAGCTCAAAAGTTTTTTCCAGTCAGATTGTGCAAATAAGCAGTTCAAACACAACAATTACATGCTGAACCCAAATGTTCAATGGACACCAAGAAAAGGCATTCCACCACCAGAATCTACTCCAAAACAACTGACTACTTACTACACTCAGCTAATTAATTACCAAAGTATCAATCCAAGATTTGATATTTTTCTCAGAAAACCAGCTTCATCTATGGAATAAAGTATAATCGCATAATAAATTTTTACATACCTATGGATATTGAAGTAGAAAGAACTCCTAAGACTCGAGCCCATTCCAGTCTATAACCTTCCACCAGCACCTTCAATTCTCTCCAACTCATCAGGTCTGTCAGGCTGTGCATAGAAATGATATCAACAAAATAATCTGGAACTGTATACGCAAGATCAAACGAGATATTATTTATTTTTTTTAATAGAAATTGGATCCATCAATTACAATATATTGATAAATTGATAAGTACGATGGATGTAGAGTGAATTTATTTTTTATTTTTTTGTTATCAAGGTCATGACTCATGTGGCATAATTGTGCAAACAAGAGGTTAGCAACGAGGGCAGTAAAGAGCCAACATGTAATTCAACTTGAATTTTCTAGTTCAACCAGAACAATAGGCAACAAGCATGAACATTTACTACAATGCTGCCATTTCCGTGGGGACACCAACTCCTCATGACACTCCAAGCATGTGTCTCATACCTTGTGGATGTGTTCAAAATTAGATTTCATTTCTCTGGAAAATTTGCTGACACATCTCAAACACTCTACAACACAGCCCAAACTGTTTGACATTTTATTATTTTTAATAGAATTTGACATTATAGTCATGCACACCAATCACAAGTCGAGTATACAGTCAGCACTTTTCTATATTGACAGAAACACAATGTAGAAATATACAAAGTATAACTATCAAAATGTACTTTTCAAGCTTCGTCTTCACATTACGGAATTCTTAAATAGATATTTAAAATGTCAACAAAAGTTGTACATTTGACGTATATATTAGAATCATATACCCTATTTGTTTCAGTGTCCTAAATGTTTAGGATTTGCCATCTCGTGTTATGCTTATGTCCCATGCCCCAGTTTGTGCCACTTAGATCATTACTGCGGGACAAACAGGTCAATACAACTTCAAGCTAAGCATGGTGGGTTTACTAACCTTGAAGATTTGGAGTCCCCTTTTTCTTTCTCAAAAACATGGAAACCTCTTGATAGTTTCTCTCTACTGGAAATATATATTAATAGATGCTTTAATTTTGTAAAGATGGCGTGTTATGTAGAACTCCATAATGCTGAATGTTTCAAGCATATCTTAAACTGCTTTTCAGTTAAAAATCTATTATGCTGATAATTTTGGAGAATATCAAGAAAATTCATCGTGTATGAAAACGTGGAGGGACCACAAATAAATTAATCGAGATTTACTAATTAGATTCTTCGCTGTATATGTAGGGGCCCCATCCAAGCCGTAATGGTGTTGTCCACTTTGGGCTAGGCCCTCACAGCTAAACGTGTCATTATTACTAGGAAGGGATGCAAACTCACTTATACAACACCATGAACTTTGCTTACCTAGCCGATGTGGGATGAGATGTGATACTAAGTGCCCATAGAAGTCATATTGGAATCAGAATACTTTGGACCTACAGTATATGCACAAGGGGACTCACTAATCAAAAACTATATACAGAATCATTCATGACATTCCCAAAAGCTGGAGGTAAAAATATGTCTAGCATCACTTTAAACTATAAACTCTTTCTGACAAGGCAAGAACACAATCTGACCAATGACCAATATGGCCACATTCCACATTCCAGCCATGCCCAATGATTCATTGCATATTAAACCATAGCTGCCCTAGACTCCACTAAATTGCAAGTTGCAACACCACAACCATGTTGTCATCATCATCACGAATTGAGCCTAATATTCTAAGAACATTAGCAAATTTTGGATACATAGGTTTAACTAGGACACTTTTACATACTAACCAAGACTAAAAGATGACTACATTCATTAAAAGTGATCATCCTTAGCAAAACAAAGAATAGCAGGTGCAACCTAATTATCTCCAAACCCAGATTGATCATCAGAATTCGTTTAAATGGTATGCTTGAATTGAGGTATTGATTCACAAATACAATCCAAGCATGCATGAACTTGGTTCCTCAAAGAATTAAACTTGAAGTAAAAATTTGAAGCAATGTGCAAAAATGAAACCAGGAGAGAAATCACCAGTCCAATATGTTCAAGCTGAAAAGCCTTAGAATTCAAATTTATATCCTCAAATTAGTTTTGCAAAAAGGCCTTTATTTGAATTCATGCTAAATGTCTTACAAATTCGGAGGACTTCACTTTCATAGTGAGGACTTTGTGCAGGTTTATGAGATTCTTGTACAATAATAGAACTTCCTAAAATGCATTCTGATGCATAATACTTGGTAAGCCTCCTACTAAAGCTCCAAACTTTTGTTTTATTTTACTGTGCATCAGCATTTGTCACCAAAGTCCTCTAGCTAGAGTCCTTCACAGTTCATACAATGTGCCTATTTGGTAAAACTTTTTTCCAACTTAAATCAGCTTTTGGCTTAAATTAAGCTATGTTGATGTGTTTAGTACAACTTATAAGGCACAGATTATACCTTAATTTAAGCCATTTTCGGCTTAAATCTCAAAGTTGCTCCAAGGGTGCTTATCAATTTAGCTTATGCGCGCAGCTGATCATGGAGGGGCAAAATGACTTAAATGCCCCTCACAATTTCAAGTAATTACAAGTGTACCATGTATATAAATAAAAAAAACCCTCATTTTTGTCTCTTTGATGAAGCTGTCTGTCAATTTCCGGCGATGTCTGGCGATTTCCGACGATGAAACAGAGATCTCTCTCTTCTCTCTCTCACTCTCTCTCTCTCTCTCTCTGCTACATCCATGGCACCGTACCTAGGGTTTTTCGTCGTCGATCTCGGGTTCGCGGCGATTTCTGGCAGATCGCAGCAGATCTCACTTTCTCTCTCTTCGCGATCACAGCAGTTCTTTGTCTCTCCAACATTGTTCGTTGCCGATCGCGATCGCCACGTCGCCGCTGTACCTTCGTCGTCGTCCCCCACGTCGCGATCGCCACGTCGCCGTTGTACCTTCGCCACGTCGCCGATCAGATATCTCTCTCTCTCTCTCTCCGGCTAGGGATTTCACTCATTTTTTTTTTCTATTTTTTTTCTAATAGGTTTTCAGTATTTTTTTAATAAAAAATAATAATAATAATAAGCCATTATTATTAATAATTTTAGTATTAATTATTAAAATTGATTATTTTAGTATTAATTTCAGCATTATTAGTATTTTTAGTATTATTAGTATTTTTACTATTAATTATTTTAGTATTAATTTCAGTATTTTTATATTTATTAGTATTGACACCTAATTCATTTGTAATGAAAAAATGAAAAAATTATACTAATTGATACTATTATTAATTTTAGTATTAATTGCTAATAATTAAGCCATATTAATTAACACCTAATTTATTCATAATGAAAAAATGAAAAAAATTATACTAATTAATACTATTATTAATTTTAGTATTAATTGATGGTAATTAAGCCATTAATTGACACCTAATTCATTCATAATGAAAAAATGAAAAAAAATTGTACTAATTGATACTATTATTAATTTTAGTATTAATTGATGGTAATTAGGCCATTAATTGACACCTAATTCATTCATAATGAAAAAATGAAAAAAAATTATACTAATTGTAATTGATACTATTATTAATTTTAGTATTAATTGATGGTAATTAAGCCATATTAATTGACACCTAATTCGTTCATAATGAAAAAATGAAAAAAATTATGCTAATTTATACTATTATTAATTTTAGTATTAATTGATGGTAATTAGGCCATTAATTGACACCTAATTCATTCATAATGAAAAAATGAAAAAAAATTATACTAATTGATACTATTATTAATTTTAGTATTAATTGATGGTAATTAAGCCATATTAATTGACACCTAATTCATTCATAATGAAAAAATGAAAAAAATTATGCTAATTGATACTATTATTAATTTTAGTATTAATTGATGGTAATTAAGCCATATTAATTGACACCTAATTCATTTATAATGAAAAAATGAAAAAAATTATACTAATTGATACTATTATTAATATTAGCATTAATTGATGGTAATTAGGCACACCTAATTCATTCATAATGAAAAAATGAAAAAAAAAATTATACTAATTGATACTATTATTAATTTTAGTATTAATTGATGGTAATTAAGCCATTAATTGACACTAATTAATTTGTAATGAAAAAATGAAACTAATTAATTTGTAATGAAAAAATGAAAAAATTTATACTAATTGATACTATTATTAATTTTAGTATTAATTGATGCTAATTATATTAACTTTTGTAATACTAATTATATTAACTTTTATTAATGAAATAATTTTTTTAAAATTAAAACTGAAAAATGATAAAATAATCATTTTTGTATCATATAAGGGCAAAATGGACAATTACACAGTAAAAAGTTATTTTACAGCTTATTAACCAAACACTACTCTGCTGCTGCTTAAATCCATAATCTAACAGTTGCACCAAACAGGTTCACAACTTATGTTTACAGCTATAAGCCATAATCTATTAAACTATTATCTATAATCACTTTTCCATAATTCTACCAAACGGGACTAATACCATACACAAGCAGAAGTCCTGACCATAATTAAGCCTTCAAAAGTTTGCATACTTAATAATTGCATGGTCTATAGTGTGAGAAAACATATTAATTCTACAAATTTATCTACTAATTTAAGAATTCCAATAGACATCTATGGCCCCCAAATAGCATAGGTCTTAGGAGGACGCCAAGCCAAAGGAGTAATGTAGTTCTAATACTGCTATTTTGGTTAGGCAGGTAGCAAGAACAGAATTTGGTATAAGTATTAGGCAAAGTTTGGCAAGTTGAAAAAAAGCTAAAAAGTCAAAAAGTTACTCAAAAAGTTAAAAAGTTATCTCTATTCACCAAAAGTCAAAAAGTACGGTTGCACAACTCTCAATTCTAATTTTCCCGTACACACTAATTTATACAATTTTTTAATACATATTTTTTCATAAAAAGTCAAAAAATTAACCCAAACAACCATTTTTTTTTTTTCAACTTTTTAGTCCAAAAAGTCCAAAAGTGCATATTTAGGACATCCCAAACAACCCCTTAATATGAAAAAAGTAAGTCTAATCGGATAAGTTATACTTTTCAAAAAATGGGGATAATCAATCATGTTTCCTACAATTCTTCGAAAATACTAACCACTGTCCCTGCCAATAGGTGTTGTTTAAGATTAGTATTAGGGGTGAGTAGCGGATATACCGATCCGTCAAAACCGACTGAATCAAACCGATCCGCCGCATTTTGGACGGATGCGTGATGACCAGTGGACGGTTGCGGATTAATTTTCTGCAATCCTCCAATTTGGCAGACGGATGACGGATTTGAAATTTCTTTAGCCGCAACCGAACCGCCAAACTGCGAGCACCCCTAATAATTTATAAGACTTTATGTTTTCAATTTGTTTAAATATTTTGTTTGTGTTTTTAATTGAAAAAAAGTTTAAATATTCTGTTGAAAAAATTTTTTCAACTTGAATATATTTTTTGAATCGAAAAAAATAAACATATTATTTATCTATATTTTTTGATTTTTAAATTTAATTCTAAAAATAATAAATAGAAAATATAATATATGCTGGCTGGTTTTTGTTTTCAAAAACATATATAGATGTAACAATACAGAGACATACAATCTCTACTACTACCTTGTTCATGGTTTTGTTGGTTTGAATTGTTATTATATTTTAAGAACCACAGATTGTAATACTTTATGTGGATGAATCATGCTGTGATTGTAATATGTGGATGAATCATACTGTGATTATAATATGTGTTATGTGGATGAATCATGCTGTGATTGTAATATGTGGATGAATCATACTGTGATTATAATATGTGGATGAGCCATGCAGTGATTGTGATATTTTAAAGTTTCAAACTTTCTTTTTTTGGATGAAACATACAGTGAATATAATAGTTTTTTAAGTCATTGACTGTAATACTTTCTCTTCTTTTTTTTTTTTTTAAGGAAGTGCACAAGTTGAATTATGTTTAAAATTTATAAAATCTTAAATCGCCAAATCAATTCGCATCCATCCGCCAAACCGCCAATCCGCTCAATCCACATCCGCCGGATTGGCGGACGGATGCAGATTGATTTTCTCTAATCCACCAATCTGGCAGACAGATGGCGGATTGAAGGTTTCGTGGTTACAACCGACCCGCGCCCACCCCTAATTAGTATATATGTAAAAAGTGTATTATGTGAAAAGTGTTTAAAATATATAAAAGGTGTATTGAAGTTTTAACTCTTTTGACATAATTTAAATCTTAACTAATGTTTATTGGTCAGTGGTTAGTATAACCCTTTCAAGAATCAAGTAACACATGCCATAAATAACTGTGTTATAGTTTCCCTTGCCCCTGTTTCCAAATTTGTTACACTTGAGTAAAGAATGAGAACTGAGTTTCAAATGTTGTGGGTGTGTCTCGCATTTAACACAGATGATACTTATTGTTACTTGTTGGCGACATACATGACCTAATTTCCGACCTGGTATTTGTATTTGGGGTCTATTTTGATCTGATTTTCTACTTTCGAATTCTTGTATATATTGGGTTATTTCAAGCTTCTAGGGTTATGATTATCTTGTAAGCTTCAGTGAAAAGATTGTTGAGAGACAGAGCTGACTTATTGTAATCTCTAAATTAATAGCGAAACTCATTTGTTGCCCATGAACGTTGACTTCTAGTCAAACCACATATATTTTGTTCCGTTTTAACTTTTTTCTCATATTTGTGTTTGCCTGATGCCAGTCGATTTCAAAATCTCTTGTATGTGAAATCTCACTCATCCGTCATTCTGTGTTTTGAAATGTTAGGCAAACTTTAGCTTATAGGAATCCAGAGAATGAAAATGTGATTTTGGATCACCATGATTCTACCATTTGGATAAAATCGGAATGGGAATGTGATTTTTGATCTCTAATCTGACCTTAATCAATTTCCCAGACCGAGGAATCTGATTCCCTACTCCCCAAAGTAATCTTGGAATCCTTCTTTAAAAAAAAAAGAGAGAGAGTGAGGTAGAAAATCAAATAATTTTTACATTGTTTCCCTGGAGAAGACTCTAAATTATCCAAGCACTTGAATGAGATTATCCAGATGTCATGCTTTTGGGAAGAAATTCCTAAAAATAAACTATCAATTCATGATCTGCAATTTCTATCAACCAAACAGAGCATTACTGTGAGATAGTTCACCTCAATTTGTACTCTTTATAAAAAAAACTTATACAAAAAGGAACAAAATCAAAGCCATAAAAGATTACTATCATGTAAATCCTCAATGATTATATCCAGAGATTTTTTAAAGCACAAAATGAGGAAAAGTTAAAAATTTATAGAAACATAATATCCAAAAGATCCAAAATTACCTTATGATCATTAGACATAGATACAGCGACACCTCGTCTTGACAGCACAGCTCTTGAGTCGCCGCAATTGGCAACCACCACCTCCTCCTCCCCCACCACCGCCACCACCGCCGTGGAACCTATATTTGCCGTTATATCATTCACTTCCTCATCCATCTTCCCAAAACACGCCACCATCACCTTCTCCCAATCCTCCTCTGACCTCGTTTCCACATCAATCTCCTCTTCGATCTCTTTCACCAGCAAGCAGTGTAATCGATCACGGCAAGAATACGCCACTCTTGACCCTCCGTGCCCATCGTATACGCCAAAGAAGTCATACTCTCTCGAATCTCTGCTCAGAAACCCTAGCTCCACTGTCACTGCGTCCTCCATTTCTCTTCTTCTGCCGATCACTGATGTCGATCCATGTGGCGTGCACGTGACACTCCGCGACTTCTTTCTCGACAAAAGCTCACAACAATCTTCGGTTTGTGAAAGGTCTCGGTTCTTCTTTGAACACTGATCATCTCCGGAACATGCTAACGTCATTTTCCGGCGACAGTTCAAAGACGGTGACGTGAGTCGCGGGCCGTTCATGATTTAAAATGCGGGATGAGATGGGGAAGTTTTTTTTTTTTTTTTGAAATTTTAAAATCTGAAGAAATGAGAAAACAAATATTATTAATCCGCTGGATTAGCGCCACCTGGACTAAATGCGGCGTTCTAGTACGGGAAATGGAACAGCGACGTGGATTTCGCACCGGAGTACGTGTGGGGCTGAGATTGAACTAACTAAACACGTGGCGTTCGGATCGTAAATTACGTGATTTTGTTTGGCGGGAGACATCGTTTTGAAGTGACCCCCTCCCCACGTGTAATTTCCGGAAGTAAATTACGTTGCTTCTCGAGCTCGGACATTTTTGTAGTCAACAACATCGGTTTTTTAATGTTTTTATTTTGCAATCTGATCCAATTTTTTAAGACGAATCTAGAAGTTTGTGTTTTATCTCTAAAATAATTAAGAAATTTTTAATAAAAATGAGATTAAATATTATATAAATTAAATTTTATGAGAGTTTAATATAAGTTTTGTTTGCGAACTTGATTATTTTAATTGATTTTTTAAATTATTTAATTTGATTAAAATAGTTGTGTTTGAAAAGACAACTGATTTTTTTTATAATTAATTTAATGGTTGTGAAAAGAAAAATAAAATGATTATAACTCGAATATATCATTTTATTTTATAGACTATTTTAACGTATTTTATATTTTAATGAGTTATTTTAGTCAAATTCTCTTCCCAAACAAATAAGTATACGAAATTTATGGAGAAACCTAAAGAAAGTCACTGTAATTTACCTAAATGATAAAATTACAAGAATAGAGTAACTATTAAATACACTCAAGCCTCCTTTGGGTGGTAAGTTTTTGACTAAAATAATCCCAAAAAAAAAAAAAGAAAATTAACATTTCAAAAAGTCAGCGTGTTTGAGGTGCATTAAAGAATGTTTGCTACTATTAGCACTCAAATTAATATTTTAGACTGTCTATTTCTATCATTTTTTTATTACAATAATAGCATCTGTTGGAAACTGGATCGGACCAGATCCATAACCCATAAGAAGATAATTATTGTATTATCTTTAATTATTTAAATTTTTTTGATAAGGTAATTATTTAATTATTTATAAGAGAGCTTGAATGATAGTAGATATCTATCTACATAGATGGCCTCCAGCTGTCCTGGGCTTTGCCAACCTGGTTATGCCATTGGTCCCAAGCGATGGGTTTGGGGTGGTTTGCTGTGGGTCGTATGCCTTGTGGGCTTATCCGTGTCAGTAGTCCCCCATTTCCGAGTGCAGCTTTAGCCCAACGAAGGGAATAGTAATAAGGAAGAGAAGTGTGAACCGAGTGGAGAGGCCGACTGGAAGCCGTGCCGACCGCAAGGGTGACTGAGCGGGAGAAGCTGACCGTGAGGGTGGCCGAGTGGGAGGGGTCGACCGTGAGGCGTGTCGACTACGAGGGTAGCCGAGCGGGAGGGGTCGACCGTGAGGCGTGCCGACCGCGAGGGTGGCCAAGTGGGAGGGGTCGACCGTGAGGCGTGTCGACCAGGACGGCGCGGGGCTCAAAAAGAGGGGGGGTTGGGGTGGGGCCATGTGATGATGTGAAATGGAAAGGACAGGGTAAGGAGAGGGGACAGTGCATCGTGGCCATACACGTGGCAATATCGTGGGGAAAAGGAAGCGTTGGAGCAGAAATGAAACGATAGGTCACGAGGGGGGTTTTGAAAAGGCGGTTTTGGCGGTTGATTTGAAAGGTTTTGAAACGGGCGAAAATTAATGTGGATCCATGGAATACGGGTAAACCGTGGGTTTTTGGTATAATGCGTTTCACCTACCTTTTTACAAAAACTCAAAATATCCAAGTGTTAATTCCTTCACTGCACAAGAACATCGCAAGTACAAAGGGTATGAAGTCAAGAACAGTGGCAAAAGTGCAAAAAAGT